CCAGGAAAGTGCTTATTCTACTGAGCCATCTCCCTGGCCCCTATATATCTAATTTTAAGTGAAGAAGATCCACCAGTGATTACTTTATAGTCTATCAGCTCTGGTTACAATGCTGAATAGGAAAGTTGTGAATCAGCACTGGCTCATGACACATTTGATCTGTGCTTAGTACAGGATTAAAGCTTGCAAGAGAAACAAAAGTTTAACAAATAGTATAGACATAAATATGCAATGAATGTCACTTTCCTAGTTTTAATAATTATCAGGCACACAAGCAGGCAAGTAAATATTGGGTACTTCATCTATAAATCCACTTAGAAAACTATCAAAATTGTAAGGTGAGCCTGAAAGAACATCTTGTAGTTCCAGAAACCAAGAGTTTCTATTGGACTGGGTGTGTAGATCAGTGGTACAGGACTTTTTTTAGTGTGTGTGAGGCTCTAGGTTCAATCCCTGGCAACACATATGCATATGTGTATGAAGTTTCCATGTGACTACTATAGTTAGAACATTTACTTTACTTCTTGTTAATGTAAGAGCAAATTGTATGTATTGTGACAATACTTAAGACACAGTCCTACCACAACCCAGTCATTCTAACTCCTGGAAAGAAATAACTAGAGACAGGAGGGCTAGCCAACAGAGCAAAGTAAGGAACTGACATGGTAGAATATGCTCTGAATGAACGAATGGGCACATTATCTTGAGAGCCAGTTGGGAAGCCAGGCTAAGAGAACTGAGTATGTCAGAAAACTGTTTAGAGAACATTCTTTGTATTTTCATATAATGCCTTGAGAAGGATGAGGGAGTGGACAAAAGTTATTACTAAACTCTCTAGCAGAACTTAAGGGTTGGCTTGCAAACAATTATCTATGAATTACAAGAAGTTTAATCTTTACTTATAGGAATTAAAATTAAGTATGCTTGAATCTGTCTAAAGACATTTAAATTAGTTCAATCAGATTATTTACAATAAACTGAGGTCAAATACTATACAAGGATGTACGTTTTGACTAAAGGACTGGATGTCAAGACACACACAAGGAAGACTGTGTACAAACTACTACTACTCCTATCATCACTAGGTCACTGAATGAGGTCAACTTTCTAAACTTGCTCTAATGCATTGGGGTAGAGATCTTTCTAATGGTGTTAAAACTAAAATTGTAAGCTAGGCTATACCCACAACAACAAAAGCAATAATTTTCAAAAGAAAAATGACAATGGCTGAAGAAGTTAACCACTCTGCACTGTTCCAAACACAGTGGTACCTCGGTTCATGAATACTTTTGCTTGCGAACAATTTAGTTTGTAGACAGAAATATTTGGCAAAACTTCATTTTTATGTGTAAACTATGCATCTGGTGACAGATATAACCACAGGGCCACCTTTCCCACATGAACAAAATTAGCCACCTTTTCTAGAATCGTGAGCCAATTAAATTCATAAACTGAGGTACCATTGTGATAGTAATCACTGCCATAATGTAGGATTACAATGGATAAAATATTATATATGTTGTTCTGGACTCTCAAATAATGGTATCAACACTGATTTACTTTTTTCTTTTCTCCAGCCTCTCCTTTAATAGAAAGGAGAGGCTGCTATTCACTGGCTGCTATAAAGAAAAAAATGACAAAGAGCACACATGAATTGTCATCTTAATACTTATATCATGGTGGGTGATGGTTTCAAGATGCCAAGGACTAGAGAGTGGTCAAGAACAAACTCCAACACACACAAGAAAGAATAAATGAACTCCAGCTGTACAGAAAGCCTAGTTTTGTCCCTTTGTTAACAAAGAACCCAGCATTATCACTTGTCTGTTCAAACAGAAAGATTAGGAGGTAAGGGCATATGCTAGAAGAGGGAAAAAAACTCTTACAAAAGGAAATAAACCAGAATCTTAAATCAAAAGGAATCAGGATAACCACACTGTGTGAAGGTGCCATGGTTTGTGTGTATCTGTTCCCCTAAAGCCTCAAGCAGTCACTGAGGCTCAGTTCTACAGTTTGTGATTAATTCATGTCCAATGCTGGGATTATGGGTCTGAGTACAGCTGGGATGAGTGTGAGTGCTGCACCTAGCTTGGGGCAGATAAGGAGGAGAGAGACGCACTCTCTGCAGCCATTGTTGCTGTTACTCCTCCCTTTTGCTCTTCCTGTTTTGCTGCCTTCCAGAGCCATGAACTGCTGCCTTCTGCAATGTGCCACTCTTCCTTGGAGCCAGCTGAGTATGGACTAAAACCTCCACAAACTGTGATCTAAATAAACCTTTCCTTCCTTCATTTTTGGTGTCGGGTATTTGTCCCAGCAATGAGAGAAGAGTAACTGAGACAGAGGGTAGAGAAAAACAGAGGGCATCTGGCTTAACTCACTAATACCAAGAAGCCGGGAAAAAAAAAAAAAAAAAAAAGTATGAATACATCTAGTAAAAGCCATACTTCTTGGATGGCATTATAGAATGAGGCTATGATGCTGTATTCCTCATCCCTAAATATCTTATTTTAATCTAATTTCTACAAGCAGAATATGGGCTCAGAAGTCACAAAAAGGCAGTATTTTAGCATCAATTCTGATGGCCACAGCATGCCACTGTCTGTTACAGAACTTTTTTTTTTTTTTTGGTGTAACCGGGGATTGAACTCAGGCCCTTGCGCTTGCCAGAGAAGCGCTTATTCCACTGAGCCATCTCCCCGGCCCCTGCTACAGAAATCCTAGGTGAGCACAGTGGCTCACGTCTACAATCCTAGCACCAAGGGAGGTTGAGGAAAGATGATGTCAAGTTTGAGTACTGGCTAGAAAACTTACAAGACCCTGTCTCATTTTTTTTTTTTTTTTTTTTTTTTTT